GGTCGGGGCTGTGAATTCACTAACTGGGGCTCCTGCAGCCTTGGAGAAGCTTCCAAAACCAGAGTGCCTCAGGCCTTCCTGCCCTCAGCCCCAGGTGAGGTCACCTTAAAGCCAACGAAGCCTGAGCTGCAAGGACCCTCACTCACAGGCGCCCTTCCACAGCCCCTGTGCTTTATTTTTTATTTGTGTTTCTGTGTTATTTTCCCCAAAGAACGCTCTGCAAATTGGAGACATTTCAGGATCCACCCTTGGAAAGGACAACCGGCAGCAGTGAGCCCGCAGACGGCCCAGAGCCCCAGGAAGCCAGCGGTCCCTTTGGTGGTGGTGCTTGTAGCCAAGCGAGGTGACAGTAGTCACCATCCGAGGGTGGGCGTCCCTGTGGCTCCGCCTTCCTGCGCAGCCTCCCCGCCTCCCTCTGGGACACCGCCAGTTGCATGCAAAGCCTGGGCGCCCTGCCCCTGTCGTCCGGGGCCCCACCCTGCTCAGGTAAACAGTTGCCCGCTGCCTGCAGGGCAGTCCCAGCACCACGCCTGGCGCCCCGGGGACGCCCAGGCCCGCAGGCTCCGCTGATGGATGTGGACGCCGCGCCCAGGGAACGTGCTCTGGGACAGGCAGCCCTGCCTCACCTGGTCCCCGGTGGCCACATCGGATCACATCTGCCTGCCGCTGGGGGAGCCCAGAGCACTGGCCAGAGGGCCCAGAATGAGATCTTGGGAACCCAGGCTCGTGGCTTAGGAAGCCCCTCAGGCAGGGCCAGGCACAAAGGCACGTAGGTAAAAATTCATGGAGCTGTATAACTCACACACACCTCAGGCCTGTGACTTTGCTACATGTAAGTCCTGCCTCCATCTAAAAGGGAGGGGGGCAACAGCTGTTCTGCTGGGCTCCCGTTGCTTCCAACTTGCATAGATTCGCCCAGCAGGTACCGGAGGGCGCGGGAGGTGCCCAGGACCGGGCACCGGGGACCAGGGTGAAGTGTGGGCGGGTCGGGGCGGGGAGTCCAAGTCTCCATCGTGCGGCCTCCACGCACCGTGAGCTCCAACCCTGCCCCGCCTACCAGCACCTTGGCGAGGGGGACTTCTGCACTGCACCTTCCGGTAGGTAAAGTGGGGATGAGAATATCAAACACAGCGGGGGATTAAAGAAGAGGGGAGAGCGCGCGGCACCCCGCCCGGTGCAGACTCGGCACCTGCATAATGGACCCGTCCTCGGTACAGCAAGATGAGGGTGACTTCCGTTCCAGCCCCAGAGACGATTCAGGCGCTAATACCTACCCCCACCTCTCTGCTTTCCGCCGCACCAGTCACCTGGAAGGAGGGGGCCGTTAAGGGCGGGGGCTGCGGGGAATGAGCTGTTTCTGCCATCCCGTCGTGGAGGGTATGAGGCCCCATGGCCAGTCTGAATAGGTGAAGACACCAAGCGACCTCAAATAGGACGCGGGCAAGCTGGAGTCCCCGAAGTTATCAGCTCACAAGGGCTTTCTGCGACAGTTCTGGAATATTCTCTCACCTCTTGAGTCCACACAGTGACTGCCGAACCACAAGACCAAAGGTAAAGTTGTGTCTTGAGGACGGGCTGGTAAAATCGTAGCTTTTCCAAAGAAAGTCGGAGCATCGATCAGGAAGGAGTGAGACCCAGAGAATCCAAATGGAGATAAGTGGGAGAATTTGGGGGTTCTCTGCACCACCCATGCTCAAAGAGCCTCCTGGGACAGCTGGCATTCCCTCTTCGTCCTCTCAAGCGCTTCTTAAAGACACCACAGTTCCTTGGTGTCCTTTGCAGGAGCTGCCCTGCGACACAGCAAGCTGGTCTCCTCGCGCACCTGTTGTCTCCAGAACGGACAGATCCCAGCGCATTTCGGAAGGGGGAGCCTCGGCAAACTCAAACCACGCAGGATGAGGGTTAGAAGCCAACATTAGTTTCAGGGTTTTTCTAATTTTTATTCATTAACTTGGGGAAATATATATGTTGGAATGGATTTTAATAAATGGGTGGAAGAACATCATTTAAAATTGGTCTGAAGTTACTGACATAGATACTCGTTGCAGAGATAATGGATGTATGGGGCCTCAGTGCACTGGCCATTGGACACCAGGTGATTTTCCCTAATGCACTGGGTGTCATCTGTGCCCCAGGCTGCCCATCAGGTACTGGGTCATCTGTCACAGTCGTCAAATCCCATCACCAATTGGAAACGGTGTAGGTGAACCTGGGCCTGACCAGGTGCTGAAGGCACAAGTCACTTGCAAGTATGTGCATGTGTGCCTGTGCCTGTCCCCACCAGGCCACCTATGGCCTCAAGGGGGGTTTCCCAAGAACTAGAAACTGAGAGATGAAAAACCACTGAGCCCAGCTTGTGTGCACAGTACACTGGCCAGCTCTGTAAATGGACGGCTGTGATGTCACAGTTCAACGAGACCAGCAGGTGAGAAGGAAAACCTCCCAGGAGGAAGGACGCTAAGCACATAACTCTATGTCTGCTTTGCTTGGAAGGAAGGGAAGTCTGATGCAAGAAGCCACACCGATTTCTGAGCAGTGACAAATGGTACGGTCAGTTGGTCAAGAGCTTGACAACAGCAAGATTGGAGGTTTAGTGACAGATTTGGGGAGACCTGTATGGCTTCACCTCTCAGAATGGGCCAAATTTGAAATCAATTGTTCCTTGAGTAAAAGGTCACCCCAAATCCCCACTATAAGGGAAGCCTCTTAATAATTAAATAGACGAAGACCCTCTACTCACAGGTGGCATCACTGCTTTCTCAGCTGATTCGTGCAAAAAAGTGGCCATGATGGCAAAGATGGACTATGACGGACCCCACCCTCTTAGGCGTCCCATCATCCATGCAGACCCAGCCCCTCAGTGCACACTGCATCAGGGTTGACGCCTGAACAGACACTGGCCCTGCTCCAGGGACACCGGGGACTACTCAGTCGCAGAGTCATTACTTTGGACCCCTCTCACTACAGAAAGGCCAGTGATTGCTCTTCACTGAAATGAACTCCTACGTCTGGGTCTGGACTTGAATCCTCTGCTTGTCACAGACTGTACAATAATGCTTCTGACCACGAATGCACTTTACAGTGAAAAGGGAAGGCAGCAGGTGACACCCTTGCAATTGGATCCTGTCACCCAGAAGCAGTCATCTGTATTGAGCTGTGACACGACTTGCTGAAGATTTAGTTTCAGAATAACGCAGAGACAACGTGCAATGAGGTTGAGATATTGTCATTTAAGTCGCTCTTTGTCCTGCAGCCAGACTGAACGGGTCTGGACGCAGGGGCCATAAGGATGGTGCAACTTCCATTTTACTTAATGACTCTCGTTCTCTTCAACTTTGTACTATACCTGTCAGGGTGTTTAGTACCCAGGAAAGCAATGTTCCACCGTTGGGGCGGCTGGCCGTGACTGGGTAACTCCTTTGGAAGGGGGATGTATGAAGTTTTGATTATACGAAGGATAGCTCCATTAAAGCAGAAACTTCTCTTAAAAACGGAAGATGGGAATTAGAGTGCATGCACATATTGACCAGAAGGATAATGCAACAGCAGCCTGCACACGTCAGAAGGCCACCTGCAGTTTCAACGTGCCATGGGATGAACAGGCCAAAAAAGCGGGTTGTGACGCTGGCCGCAGTGACTAGTCCTGGGGAAACACCAAATCTGCTACGCCATGGGGACAGGCCAGGGCGGGGGCTGTAAATGAAACTCAAGGGGTCTGCTCAGGAGCCTGAGCCTCTTCCTCCTCCCTCCTCCAGGGGTGGAGGTTAAAGGGAGACAGCTGCAATCGTGCATACAGGTGAGACCACCTTGGTCTCTGTGTCCTCAGGAAGGAGGGACAGGGTCACAGTATTGTATATCATGGGGTCATTGTATATCATATAACATGTATATCACAGGGTCATTGTATATCATGCCCCATCCATCCAAGGTCCTGGCTGAAGAATGAACCTGGAATGCAAACTGGGAGTGGGAAGCCTACAAACCACCCAGGGTCTCTTCTGTAGGGGAGCAAACAAGAGCTGCAGCCTCTGCTTCCACTTCCCGTGCAATGTGTATATTCACATATTTGAGCTCAGCGCCTCTTGTCTCCTCTCCCTTTATCCAGTCTGCTGTATGTGGGGTGCACAATCGTGGTTAACTTTACCCCTCAGCCCAAAGAGTACAGAAAAACGAGATGGGACGGTGACTCAACGGGAGGAGGGGTGGACGTGACTCAGAGACACCGAGTACAGGAATTGGAAAACATTGGGCTCACTCCCTTTGGAAAGGGGATGGGTGAAGTTTTGATCATGCAGGAATAGCTACATATCTTATGCAGAAGGTTGTTTTTTTTTTTTTTAAAGGGAATGTAGTGGAATTAGAGTATTGTAGATATTGAACCATAAAAGAGTAAGGCCGTAATCAATTTAACAGACTTCTTTCTTGTTCTTTCAGCTCTCCACCATCTGAACTCATTCCCAAATCTGGAAAGTCTGCTATTATGTCAGTCTTGGTAAGGGGCAGGACCAGCTATATATAGTTCATGGACACAGGTTCTAAGCTCTGGCAGCTGGCTGTTCCTGTCCAGAATTTGCATGTGGGGCCAGGACGCAAAGAACAGGATCAGCTTAGAGTCTGTGCTTGTGGCAGCGGTGGTAGCACCAAGGGGTCTCAGGGGATGTGGGGGACCAGCACTGGAGGCCGTGGCACCTAAACCTGGCCGCTTTCCAGGTACAACTGGGCCATAGTCCCAGACCCCGCACTTTCTTGGATTCAACCCATTTTCAAGCTTGATTCTTCTAAAGATCCTGAGCTTCCATTCGTCTCCTTTTCTGTTTAAGTAAGCTGGAGTTGGACTCTGTTGTTTGCGACCAAGAATCTGACTAGCCCTTCTCATCCGAGCTCTCTCCTTTGCCTTCCCTGGTGTTGGGTGGGGGAGACGTTAGCTCCAACTCCAGCTGGCTCTTAGCATCATCCCTGGAAGGTAACAGCTTTGAGAAGGACTGAACGTAACACGAGTCATCCACAACAATATCCCCTTTATTGATGTTTATCACAGTTATGAGGTCTTATCCATCAGAAAGCACAATCTGCTTTATGTGGAACTACATACTACAAAGACATGACAATTAAAACATACTCATACACCAACCACCACACCAGTTATTCTCGCCCAATCAAACCTCTGAACGTGTCTTCAATTTTGATCATCGGTGCTTTCGGAAGAACATACACAGACCCAGCCCAGGGTTGGCCTTTGGGGTCCTGGAGCGTTCACAGAGCAGGAGAGTCACCCATGGAAGCAACTGGACATGTAAACTCAGAGAGCAGCACCGACTGCACAGCGCCTGCATACCTGGCTCTTGGGCTGCCTGCCTTCTCAGCAGAGCCCGGCAAAGTGCCCCGTGCGCCTCTGACCCATGAGGACGGCTGGCCTTCGCTGTGCCTGAAGGAGACAGGTCACGTCACCCCGGCTGGAAGAAAAGCTATGTGTATAGAGGAGGACGGTGGCTTCTCGTCTGGTCCGAGTCATTTTTTAGCATCATTTCAGAATGAAATGGCTAAAATGAAATGGCCTAAATTGGCTAAAATTTACTTTCAAAGGGAAATGTAAAAATATTGTTTCCTTTTCCTACCCTTCTATTCATTCCTTCCTAAGCCCTCTGGCTAGACTCCTGTTGCAACTCAAGGGACCTTGGTCAGGCCACACATTACCAAATGGTCGACAGGGAAGGACCCAGTGCAGACTCCAAATGTCTTTCACTCGCTTCAGTTAACGTAAGTGGCCCCCTCCGTGAGTGCATGAAGAGTTTGACCTCTAGCAGTTTGCTGGTGTTCCCGAGTCTCTTAGAAAAAGGAAGGCTATATAACACTTACCAAAATAAATGCCTAGGGGGTTTGGAAACCGTGACAAACCACTTTGCTCTTGGAATCCACCGAGAGCAGAGGACATTTCCTATCAAAGCCACACTCCGTGGGCTTTTCACAGGGCTCCCTGTGTGTTCACAGTTGGCTGCATTCCCTTCACTTCGGTAATGTCAATCTTTGCCTTACGAGAAAAAAAAAAATACAAAAAGACTAGCAGATTGATTTCCTTCCCGTTGTCCATGTCACCTCGCAGGCAGTATCTCCCTTGGGGGAGGCAGAGGAAGGCGTATTCCTCTTTGGGCTGGCTTGGCCTTGGGAAGTAGGTTGTCGCGTTCATGACGTTCGGTTCTGGAGTTCCGGGCGGGTAGACGATAGTCAGCAGGGAAGGGACAGGACGGCAGGTGAGGGATGCGCTGGCCATTCGGCTCGGGGTCCCTCGGCCAGAGCGCTTGGGAGACCTCTCTGGGTAGCTTGCTGCTGCAGGTGAGGGGTCCCCAACAAGTCCAGTGGGGGAGACCGAAGGTTCCAAAGCAGAGATTTCCCTGATCTTTAGGTTTTTGGCAATCCCACTGAAAAAAGATTCCATTCGGTGGCCAAAAACAAAAATGTGTGATTCTGCGACATCTTGAAATTCCAAAGAAAAGCGATTATCTCCCTCGAAAGCAAAGTGAAAATCAGAGTTAATCAGGATAATGAGATGAGGAGAGAAGGGAAAACTGTTTTAATGTGAAGGAAGAGGCGTGTGGTCCCACAGAAACCACCCACGGCGGCCTCCTCGTGCTGTCGTTCCGGGGGCCGAGGCATCGCAGCCCTAGCCCAGGCCGACGTCCAGTGACATCATCACCACGAATCCCAGGATGGAGGCCCAGGACGCCAGTTTCCCGTTACCGCTGGGAGGGAAGGGGAGGAAGGAAAGACAGACCTTAGTGCCTCCTGGCACGCTGCAGGCTGCAAGCATCCTGTGCAGCGTCCAGTCCCGACAGAAAATGCACGACTATTAACGATGGCGACATTTAGCGGGACTCAGTATAAGCCAGGCAAACTGAATAATCCGTGCAATCCCAAACAACGACCTCGTGAGGTCAGTATCATTGTGCTCACTTTACTGGTGGGGAAACCGAGGCATAGAGACGTAAGCTGCTCAAGGTCACCTGCCATGGCTCTGGAGCTCATGCTTGCATAATAAAGAGTGGTGACTGTTTCTTGAAGATATTATCTAACCTGACTTTATTATTTTGTCTGAGCCTCAAAATTGTTCTGCTATATAAACCAAAATGAAACGGAGCAAGCCTCTACCCCACCCCCCAACACCCCACCCCCCTGGCCTACAGGTGGACAGTGAGAACCTGTGCATACTGCTTGGGCTGACATTTCAGAGCTCATCTCTCCTCTTATTCCAGCCCCGGAAAAATCTAAAGAAAGAGACGATGTACAAAAATGATAGTCTGCTTCACTGGAGGGACAAAGGGCAGGTGGGTATGCCACTGGCTAGTGTCCCCGTCTCTTGCCCTTTGCTCCTCTGTTAGTTTCAGAGAGCGCAGGTGAGGAGGGGGTGGCCATGGTCTTGGGAGGGGGCAGGAAAGAGTGGGAATAAGGAAGTGAGAGCAAATGAGGAGAAGGCAGATCCTGAGGCTGGGGCCCGGGCCGGGACCAGGACAGACAGGGACAGGCGGGGGCAGGGGGAGCGCTCCCACCTGATCTGGGCTTCTGGGATGATGTCGTCCATGACCACGTAGACCATGGCGCCAGCAGCAAAGGCCAGCGCGTAGGGCAGGATGGGCTCGGCCAGCACCACGGCAAAGGCACCAAAGACCCCGGCTAGGGGCTCCACCATGCCACTCAGCTGCCCGTACCTAAGGAGAGAGCAGAGACACGTCCAACTGCACGGAGAGTCCGGCAGACGCTCCATGTGCCCAGGCTGTTGATGCAACCCTAGAACACGGATGCGTGCCACTCCACATCATATCTGAGCATGGCGGTGCAAAAGCACGTCGCTGTTTCCTAAGCACGTCCTTCTCCTTCCCCAACTCCCTAGTAAACAGTTACAGAAGACCCCCCCCCGCCCCCCTGCATCCCAGATTATCTTTGGAGCTTTAGGTTTTCTACATGGTCTTTAAAAAAATAGTATCATTATTGAGACATAATTCACATACCAGATGACACGCCCATTCAGTGTACACAGGTCCGTGGTTTGTAGTGTGCTCACAAGGTTGTGCGATCACCACCACGATCTAATTCCAGAACATTTTCATCACCCCGCAAAGCAACCCCACACACACTGCCGCAATGCTGGGTGGTTCTGGGCCTGGGGAGACCACCTAGCACTGATGGCCGTGGCTGTCCACACAGGGGTTTTGAAATAGGAATCTCAGCCATTCGAACTAGTTCCGGTACAGGCTGCAGGTTGGGAGATGAGACCCCCGAGCCTGGGAGGTGTAGGCGTACCCGAGTTATTGGTGTTGTACCAGAAGCTCAAGATCCGCTTCCAGGTCAGAAGATATAGTTCTTGTAGAAAGAAGCCTGCAGAGCGGACGCTCTGAGCACTTGGCAGACAGGACCCTGCCCCGGGCAGCTGGTGCAGGGCTACAGAACTCACCAGAAGGCTCTCCAGGTGGAGAAGCCCGCCCCCCGCAAGGGGAGACTGACCGCCAGGCCCTCGGGGAAATTCTGGATTCCGATTCCAATGGCCAAATTCCTGAAAGACCAAGAAGGCACATGAAGGCTGCTGCCTGGAACCGTGTCCCAGGTGACAGGAGCCCCTGGCCGAGGCCCCAGGCTCTGCTGTGGCGCCAGGGAGCCAGGAGTAGCCTGAGGCAGGAGGAAGGAGAAGGAAGGTAGGGGACACGTGTCGTGGAGAGCCCAGGTTGCAGGAGGGAGGGACCCAGGTCCTCCACCCGTCATCCCGCCCTGGGCCTGGGCACGCTCTATCCTCGCCGTGCTTCGGCACAGAGCAGAGAACACGCTGTCTAGCTGTCAGGGTGGCCGAGTTCTGCCACTTGGTTGCATAACTTTGCAGTTTCTACGTTTCGCTTTCCACACCTCTGCTTCTTCTATACAGCTCTCGGGAATAACACCATTGACCACAGAAGACTGTAGAGTGACCCGGTGACCCAAAAATGCCAGTAATGTTCCTAGCCCATGCAAGGTGCTCAGTGCATTTTGATTTCTATTCTCTTATCATATTTTATCCAGAAGTAACTTCAGAAACAGGACAAGGCAGTGCAGGTGCAGAAGCCAAAGGCGAACCGGATCTGGCTCTGGGCTCTGCTTCTCCGTCGACTCTCTGGGTGCGTCTGGCACTGTCACTGCGCTGCTTTGGGCCCTGGTGGTGCTCACTGTGGTCCCCTTGCTTCCCGCCTCTGCAGGACCCCGAGGAGCTGTGCTAGTCGGTGCTGTCCCTGAGAGCCTGCTCTGCACAGAGGCCAGGGGCAAAGGGAGGGCGAGCAGAATGAGAGGGGCACAAATGCAATCCATGGCCGGTGCCTGGCCTCAGGGGGCTTATGGTTTAGCAAGGGAGACATGCATGCATGTCACCAAGGAACCCTCGTTGTGCATGCCACTAACTCCTGCAAGTCAGCCAAATGTCAGCTGGCAGAGGACGCGGAGGCATAATCAGAGGGAAACCAGGACCATCTGAATGGCACAGCAAGGCCATCTTAGAGTGTCCCTCCCCAGGCAAGACTCTACTTTGGCCGGACAAGTCCAAGCAACAGCCCCTCCACAAAGGCCTGTCTGGTCAACGGAGATCTCAAGGGCATCAGAAGAGGGTGTCACTTGGCAAGTGACACTGGGATGTGGCCTGAGGGAATTATGGGTAGGACAGAAAGAAAAGAGAGACTCCACCGGCACCTCGCTTTCAGGTCACCTGGCTCATGTCTGGGCACTTTGCTGCCAATGAGAATCCGCCCATCGGCTTTGACAGAGGCAAGGGGGTGCTGGACACAGCAGTGGGGCCCACCTTGTCCTACCTAACCAACCACCCACGGCTCCCAGGACTGGGGCACACCCTCTGCCTTGAAGGCACCCTCGGCCAGCTCTGGCCGGGGGCCTCTGCTTCAGCCTCCAGCAAAGAACGCCAAGCATAATCCCAGTGTTTAATGTCTCATCTCCATTTTGACCAAGAGCTTGCACCTTACCCGTGTTTGTCTTTATCCCCCCCCAACTCACGCACACACGCTTCATCGGGCCTCACGGCTCCCGCCTGCTCAGGCGGAGGGAGCCCCCACCCCGGGGCTTCCGGTAGTCCCAACCTGTCCCATCCGACAGAGGGGAAGGAGGATGAGGAGAAATCAGACAGGATCAAAAAAGAAATCCGGCTAGAGATTGTACGGAAGAAAAGTATCGTTCTGGTCCGTTGCGTTTTAGATGCACGTGTGTGTGTGGTAGTGGGCCCTGCTTGGCCGTCTGACTCTTCCTCCCCATCGTTCCCGGCCAGCCTCCAGGGCAGGATAAAGGGTCAGGAGTTCCCTTTGTCACCTCAAAAGCCCCGGGGCTCCCCTCCTCTGTTGCTCTGCAGGTGATTGGCTGTGGGATCAGAGTTAATAAACTCACTTCTTCTTGCCTCCTGGGCCCCGGGTCTAGGAATCCAATTGCAGCTTTGGAAGACACTGCCAAGCCCTGCTCAAGCCGAAGGACCCTGACAAGCATGTTCCAACCGGCTGTGGGCAGAAATACAGCTTGTTGTAGCAGCTTCTGCTACCAGTTTCATGTGCAAGCTGAGCCTGAGCGCCCACCCCAGGAGCAGCAGGCAGCTGAAAACTGTTTTCTGTTGAAGCAGCTAACCTAAGGACAACTTCTTGCCAACAGTTCCTGAGCCCCTGCCTGCCTTCTCAGCCAGACCCTCGGAGTTGGGCCCATCCCCTGCAAGCTCGTCCAGTCTCCCCTTGCAGCTCCCCAAACGGTCGAGTGAATATAACCAGCTTTCTTGACCTTTTGCAAAGCTCTGAGTGCAGGGTTTCTTCCCACGGGGAAGGCCAGGGTCTTGTCTGAGGTGGGCTGGCTCACGGCCCGCTGCTGTCCCGTGACCCGACACTCACAGGCAGGTGCAGGACTTGCTCCAAGTGTAACCATGGAGTCTCCAGCCCAGTGTCACAGCAAGTTGGGGTGGGGCTCCCTGTCCAAAGTCCCTGCCATGACGCAGCACCCACTGCAGCCGCCAACCAGGCGGGCGGTGGGAGCCTCCTCCACATCCTGCCCGGGAGCCACCGTCCCGATAAGCTGCACAGAAAGCCCATTCTTCCGCCCCCGGCAGCCTGGTCGCCTCCGCCCTGCCCGGCTCCGGCGCGGGGCTGCCCGCCCAGCCAGGTGCCGCACCTCTGGGCCTGCCAGGCCTTTCTGAGCAGGGCACCGCCTCGCTGGGTGATCACAGGGTCCCGCCTGTGCTCCCTGCCCCACAGCAAGGGCCGGTACCACAGCTTCTCTGCCTCTCCCACCTTCATGCACGACCCTTCTTAATTTGGCTTTCCCCAACACACACACGCACACACATGACACACACATGAACACACACAGAAACATACATACACACATAAACACGCATATAAACACACATGCATGCATGCATACATAAACACGCACACATGCAAACATACGTGCATACACACACACTGTATGTGCAGCCTTGGCACGGGCCATCCCTGTTCCCTCACCCTGCTGTATGTTGTACACCTGTTAAGTGTCCACCAGGTAGGGTGGCCCAGTGGAAGGGCCCAGTCCCCGCAGGCCCTCTACTCCTCTTCACCACTGGCATCCGCTCCGAATGCGACTTGAATCCACACCTCTCAAACCTGACTACACATTCCAGCCCCCAAGAGTTTTGCCAAATGCCAAGGCCTGGGCCCGCCCCAGAGACTCTGGTTAATTGCTCACCTCCTGAATCCTCCTCCTGCTCGGTACCCCCCACCCCTGCCCCAGTTAAAAGTCAGAGCGGCTGGAGGTGGCCTGGCTTAGTACCTTTGGAGGCCATGTGGCATGCAGTACCAAACCCATCTGGGTGGGACCCCCAGGTGCACCAGGGAGACCCAGGGCGAGCTACAAGAAACTCAGCCTCTGCTTTATCTGGAAAATGGGCGTGCAACTGCCCCGCCTGCAGGGCTCTTGTACAGACAGGAAACGACCACTGTGAAGAGCCGGTCCCAGCTCAGCGCCCGGGCGGGTGCTCCTTACATGGCAGCTGCTGTTAAAGTTGCCAAGGCTCCCGGACGGGGCAGCGCTGAGACTGGCACTCAGGCTCCTATTCCTCCCCTCCCCCCCTGCCCCGCCTGGTGACCTCCCAGCCTCATGCCAATCTCTTGTCCAGTGGGTGCTCCTCAGCTCTCTCAATGCTGTGACCCCAGGGCAGAGCCATGCCCCGAAATGGGACATGGCCAGCGGGGAGCCCCTCCCCAGGAGTCACTGCAGAATCAACCACCGAGCCCTGGGCGCGTGTACGAGCTCACGCCACACATGAAGAACGTGTCAGGCAAGCCCTGCCTTCACGGAGCTTGCAATGTCCCAGCGGGCGAAAAGCCGTGTCTGCACATCACTACAGCGCGGTTCAGAGCTTGCCAAAGGCCATCAGAGAGGCCCAGAGCATAGAGGGAGGGTGATTCTGGCAGAGAAAGATGACCTAGGAAGCCTTCGTTTTTTAAAAAAAAAAAAAAGGGACATTCGAGATGGACGTTGGAGGATGGGGACAATTTTAGACAGGGAAATCCATTTCCTACGGGAAGAAGGAACCGAGTAAGCAAAGATATAGGATGATCTGGCAGAGTGAGCCGGGTCTTCCTTTCTCTCCCCTTCCCCACGTCAAACAAACAAAACCAAAGCACGCACTGGAGCCCAAGCCTCTCTCTTAGTCATCCGTCCTCTGTGAATCTTTCCCACCTGAGTCTGTGGGCTTTTTAGGGAAAAATCTGAGCGTTAAACAACCGAGCCCCACCCCAGGTGTCTTCGAGAGGCCCAAAGTATGGGGTTCCACCCCAGGGCCCCCCAGTCTTCGGGAGGCAGACCCCTGTGCCAAGCGAGCGGCCAGCGGGCAGGGTGGGGGGCAGGTTCCCCCGAAATTCATCTAGCTGCCGTCTCCACTCATGCTCTTAAGAACGTCTTGGGCCTTGAGCATGGGAAGGGCTTCCAGGCTGTGCTGGCGGCGTGCCACACAGAGTACGTGCCAAGCACCCCAGACCCCGCTGCAGCAACCCGAGGCCGAAACCGGCTCACGTCTTTCCTTCCCACACTTGTCGGAGGCAGCCAGAGGTCCTCGGGCTAAGAGAAAAATGACAATAACCACTGCTGCCACTGACTGCGTGTTACTCGGTGCCAGGCGTGGCTGTGAGCATGTGACACGTCGCAACACGTTTTGCTCCCTCAACCACCTCGAGAGTGTTTTCCATCATTATTATTCCCATTTTACAGATGGGGAAACCGACGCACAAGGAGTTAAGTAATGGTCCCCAGGGCTGCCCAGCCGGGAAGTGACAGAGCGGGACCTCTTAACCGCCACTGTTTATGCTGAGGGTTTTCTGGGCCTCGTGCAGACCCGTCAACATATAACCATAGAGAGACGGTTCCCGGGCCCAAACGCCCAGACGGGAGCAGGCACTGCCTTAGGCCCATTCAGCTAGAGGCTGCGGTTCTGGCCAAGTAGGACAGCAGGCCAGATGGGGGGAGATGGGAACCAGAGACCTCCAGAGTTTGATGGAGTTGGAACAGCTCAAC